TCCGCGTGGGACGGCACGGGACGGGACGGTTGGGGGGGACCGGCACGGGACCCGTTGGAGCGGGTCCGTGGGGTTTGCGTTGGGTTCGGGAGACGTTGGGGTTGGGGAGACGTTTTTGGTGCGTGGCGCGGTTGGCTGGGGTGGTTGGTTTGGTGCGGTTGGCTGGGGCGGTTTTTCAGAGTGGTTCTTGGGGGGGTGTGGTGTGGAGAATTTTTGGGGGTCAGATAGGCACATGGGCACTGTTTCCTGATGCAAACTTGAGAACCATGCCCAGTGGATCAGAAGAATGTGCCATGCAAAGACTTTCAGGAAGATTGATATGACTTTGACATACTTTGACTACGAACGACCAAAGCAACTCGATCGTTTTTGATGGTTTTTGGGCCCTGAAGAAGCAACCAATGTCCGCGTGGTCGCTCAGCTGTGGACCTGTCCGCCGCCCGGGTAGGACGGGTCAAGCTGGGCAGATCGCCTGATCGGCTTGAAGCCCCAAAGCCTGTCTTTCGCATCACTGGCCGGACCTCTGGAAACCATAGATGGCCTTTTACTTATGCCTGGGAGTCAAGTCGACGAAAAAAAAGAATGGTCTGACGAACGGGGAACTGAGTTCGGGAACTTCCTGCAACCTTCAGCCGGTCAACATAGAGTCGAACTGGACTTCTAGGGTTATTAGTTGGTTGATAGAGAGGATACCCCTCGGTCGTGTACAACCACCCAAGTTCAGTGACACCCGACCCATCGGTTCTTCCCAAGTACGGACACACCAGACCTCTTGTTTCAACCACCCATCCCCAAGGACTGGAAACGTGGACCGTTTAGCATCGAAGAAACAACGAGAGGTCGAGATGAGACCTGAAACCTCATTCAGATGAAATGCTGCTAGCCTCATACAGGGTCTTACATACCCAGCTTCAAGTCCATTGAGTCCGTGTTTGGACCTCCTTCCAACCAAACTCTATCCCTGTCAAAAGACTAAGACTGAAAGACTGAAAGACTGGGCTAGCAATGGCTAGCAGCTAGATGACACCTAGCAGACCCGATGACCTGATTTGGAGAACCTCCTTTGGCCTCCGTCGTGTCCCGAGCGTCTTTGCACTTCGAGCCTATAGCGGTCTGACTTCGAGGCGGTAACGGGACCTTCCCACCTGTCGTCTCCCGCTACTCCGGCTTCTCCGGTTCGGCACGGCACGGGGTGCCGCGGTTCAGGATGCGCGCACTGGCGAAGGCCGCCTTGGAAGCCGAGGACAACTTGCCCAAGACGATCGTCACCAAGGAGAGAGGGGCGCCGTTGAGGAAACCACCGGGGGGGCCGCAGACGGCAGATGCACAGGTTGGAAGCGCAAGATCGCTGAAGGAAAGCCGGTCCAATGCCAGGCTTCCAGTCGCCCAAGCAATGGATTTCATGGGCTTTCTTATAGAACCACCCAGCTGTTTTTCCTCAAGGATGTGACAACCACCCAGCTGTTTTTCCTCAAGGATGTGACACTCCCCATCCCACCAGCTCGTAGAGGAGTCGCCGAGACCTGGTGATGGGTTTTTTTCGTGATTTGCCATTGATGTGAATGCTGAGAGCTTCTCCCCGTTCCGCAGCTCTTCCTTCCGCGGGGGGGGCGTTCACCTAGATGGAACCCTAGATTCACCTCGGTGATAGCCTCGGTTTGAGCCTCGGTGAAGCTTGTTCTTCCTTTTTGGAGAGGTCACTCCAGGGCTCAGTTCAGTCCACGCGTGCTGGTGCCACTGACTTGGTGAACCTGAAACAGCGGGGTGCACTCCATGGTGTGGCGCGGTTGTAGGGAAGGACCGGTAGATGAAAAAAGACTTGTTTCTGACACCACATAGGTCATCAAGCGTGGGTTACAGGCACCCGTCACCTTTAAGAATCATGCCCGAAATTGCGACTGGATTCTTCATCATATACAGGTATAACCCCTGCAGTTTTCTGAGGGGTTCGAGAATCTGCAGAGAAGAGATATGACTTTGAGAGTGGGTGGATGAAGGTTGTGGGTGGATATCGTAGGGAGGGAGGGAGGGGAGAGGGAGAGGGAGAGGGAGAGGGAGAGGGAGAGGGAGAGGGAGAGAGAGAGAGAGAGAGTGCATGTTGTTGAACACGGTCCGAGGGAAGGCGTTTCAAACTGCCTGCCAATCCACTCCTGAAGATAGTGACGCTCAGGTTCAGACTTAGTAGCTAAGTTATGGTGCGATTCCGTGTAAGGTTGGTGTGTAGGTTGTGAGCTCCAGTACTTGCTTCAAAGAGTTAGACTTCACCTTCCCTCAGTGAATTGGGATCGAGTCCTATCGAGTTCGTGTTTTGGACAGACGTGCCGTCTCCCTGCGCTGCCAGAAGACATATCCCACCTTTGTAGCTGAGGCAAAAAGAACGGCCCGTTTGGAGAAGAGTCACTCCAGAACGCTCATTATTCATAAGCCTTCACTATCAAGAGCGTTGTGTGGCCAGAGCATAAGCCTAAGCTATTCGCTGCATAGCCTCACCTTTTTGGAACTCTGGCCTCTTGGATTTTTGCATAGACCCTCTCCTTTCACTCTCCTTTCGGCAACGCCCCCAGCTGCCCACACGAAACGCTCCGCTCTTGTTTTGTGAACAGGACTATTTGGTCCAGGGCGGCGGCTGTGAGGGCGACGTGGAGCTCACTGAGGCCGATTGCAGCGAGTGGATTCAAACCTTGTCCCGTGCCAGGCGCGAGTCCCGCGGCGCCTCCGGCGATGGGTTGTGCCGGCGCGCAGACGGTGTGTGTGGGCGAAAGGCAGAAGGGAGGGAGTTGATTGGGGAGGGGCTGGAGGGGCTGGAGGGGCTGGCTTCGGTTGGTGTGTCATTCTATCTATGCCCTGAGAGGACTCTGAAAAGAGTGGTCTTTAGAGTGCCTGAAAGAGCACTTCCTTTACTTTACAGGAGGTAAAACGCAAAACAAGATGGAGCCCACGAACCCAAATGCAAACACGTTCAAAAAGCTACATATGTCCAAATGACATTCTTGTTTGTAGGACACTCTTGTGGGACACTCTTCTGGGACACTCTTGTGGGACACTCTTGTAGGACAATCTTGTGGGACGCTCTTATAGGACACTCTTGTGGGTCACTCATATGGGACACTCTCTTGTGAGACGCTCTTGTAGGACACCCTTGTGGGTCACTCTTACACGACACTCTTGTAGGACACTCCTTGTGGGACACTCTTATAGGACACTCTTGTGGGTCACTCTTATGGGACACTCTTGTGGGACACTGTTGTGAGACACTCTTGTAGGACACTCTTGTGGGTCACTTGCAGGACACTCTTGTGGGACACTCTCGCGGGACACTCTTGTAGGACACTCTTGTAGGAAACTCTTGTGGGATACTCTTGTGGGACACTCTTGTGGGAAACTCCTGTGGGATACTCTTGTAGGACACTCTTGTAAGGCACTGTTGTGGGACACTCTTAAGGGACACTCTTGTGAGACACTCTTGTGGGACACGGTTGCGGGACACTCTTGTGGGACACTCGTACGGGACACTCTTGTGGGACACTCTATCTGGGACATTCTTGTAGGATATGGTCACTTTTCGTGGCAGGCGCAGTACTTTGTGCGGGCTTTGAGGTGTGGAAGTGCGATTTTCGTGGCAGGCGCAGGGAATCGTGAGGTTGCGAGGTGTGACGGAGGTAACATTTCGTGGCAGGCGCAGTACTTTGTGCGCGTTAGACATGTGGACGCGGAAAGATTCGTGGCAGGCGCAGGGAATCATGAGGTTGTGAGTTGTGGTAGAGGTGAATGTCGCTTTCACATTGGGATTGGCGTGTGAGCGGGTGTTGTTTGAAAGGGCTGGAATCGCGAAACTGCTTGGCAGGGCTGCGTGATGTGTGTGCTCCGATGGGTGTTTCCGCTTGACTTTTGGAGGAAGTCTCGTACGAAACGCTCGTTTTGCAGACTTGGACATGTGAGTTTTTGAGGAAGTCTCGTACGAAACGCTCGTTTTGGAGACTTGACGTGTGACTTTTTGAGGAAGTCTCGTACGAAACGCTCGTTTTGGCGACGCGACGTTCGTGATGTCGCAACGCCATTGGGGTTTGCGCAGCCTTGGTGGAAAGTGCGTTTGCGTGGCGCCGTGCCACTGGGGAGCGTGAAACACGCTGGCGTAAACGCGGCGTGTCGCTGGTGAGCGGGATGATTTGTGGTATCATGTGACACGTTTGCTTCTAGTGTCTGGGCAGACCGTGTGGCGACGCGACGTTCGTGATGTCGCAGTGCCATTGGGATTCGGCGCCGTGCCACTGGGGAGCGCGAAACATGCTGGCATAAACGCGGCGTGTGGGATGATTTGTGGTATCAAGAGTGTCCCAAAAGAGTGCCCCGCAAGAGCTTCCTACAAAGTGACCCACAAGAGTGCATCTCATGTGAGCTTCAACAAAATTTGCACCACACCACACGTTTGGAATGATTTCGACCCGTTCTGAGCACACTCCCATCCACCAAAATCGCAATTTCAGCTGAGACTTGTCACGAAAACAGAGCTTCGATGCCACACCCTGAAACGGAAATCCCAATGGCACGGCCACATCCAACACCCCAAAAACACGACTCTCCAAACGCTAATCCCAATGGAACTGCGCAGCAAACTGCGGATCTCACAAGACGCTGCGCCTGCGCAGTGAAATCATCCTCCACACTTCATCATCTTACATGTCCACACGAATCCTCGCTATTTCATGGAATCTGACACGTCACGTTTTCATCCAAAACCTTCTCCAAAAGCTTCCCCCAATGGCAGCGCCTTAGCGCTCTACTGCGAACGGTTGCGAAGGGTTGCGGACGGTTGCGAACGGTTGCGAACGGTTGCGGACGGTTGCGAACTTAGAAACAACGGGTCGCGAACAAGGCTCTACCCCCAGACCCCCAGAGTTAAACGAGAACCCTTCGCTACGCATTCGGGAAAAAGGTCTTTCAACTGCTAGGGTATGAGTTTAGGATCTTCTGCGCTGGAACACCGTGTGTCGAGTGGCAGGATGATGCTCATCTACATCTTTGGCAAGGCGCTCAACCCACGGCCGATGAAACTAGGTGCAATGTAAGCCGAATGGGAAAGGAGAGCTACCCATCGTACCCATCCTTAGCCATCCAAGTGCTAGGTAGGATTCTTGCATGCTTGCAGGGGAAATGCCAGGTTGATTTGAATTGCCAAGGCCTGGGTGTTAACTGATGGGGTTTTTAGGAAGTTAATGAGCGAAGACATTTTGTAGTACCAGGCGGTGTATTTATATAATTGTTTATAAGGAGTCGTAAACGCATACGGGGACAGGATGATCGGACAAATCAGGGCAGCACTTTCGAGCGAAATGTTCGTTGAGATTCGTTGGGGAGACCCACCAGGAGCCCCCCAATCATGTTCCTACGTAGTGAAACATGTCGCAAAATGGGCCACAAGAACCACCACCTTTAGTGGTAGCTCTACCTTCGCCTTGTTTGTGTCCAAGGAAACACAAACAGGTGGTAATACGGTGGTCAATGCAGAACGAAGACTAAGAGTACAAACAGGTTTCTTCTGGATTCGTTATTGGACATCTACCATCAATTTGTATAGTCTCAGTCACTTGGTAGCTTAGTTTGTTCAGGATGAGTTGACGGTAGATGATGTTCGGCCTCGTCACAAAGGAGCCGTCGTCTATTCAACCAGGTTTAAGCTATCATACCATCGTGTTTGTCGCAATCCTGCAGAAACAAGGGTTCACATCAAGATGCTCAACAGAAGATGTGAAGCTCAAGATCAACCCCCCAAAGGATCTCCAAAGTCATTTGCAAGAGGAACTCTCCAACTATCGATCAATCTAGACCAACCAATGTGCAGACCGCTGGCTTTGGCAGTATACCGTCCCCAGATGCAGCGCTAGCCCCGGGCGAGCCGCGTCTCTAGCCAGAGCTGCGTGAGTTGAGCCGGCGGCCGCAGACGGCGGTGATCGTGGAACGCCCTCGCGTTGCGGACAGCCACGCATGAGCCGACGCCAGGGACAAGGTACCTTGGAGATCATGCCCTTCGGCGCCACCGAGGACTGGACGTGTCGGAGGGTGCGGACGACGGAACAACGGCTCTCATGACCAATTAGGGCGGGTGCAGTTTCGGACGGTGCGTAAGGTTCCTCTGCAGCATAGGTCTTCAGTATCTGAGTATCTGGATCTGGGAACCAGCGAGACCACTTCCAGAATGTTTCAGGGCCTGGCAAAAATAAACCTGAGTGACCTTTAACTACTTTGGACCACCAACCATCAAAGCAGAAGTCATGTCTGGGCTCTAGGTCATGCCCAACGCGTGCGAAAGACCAAAGTTGAGGGGTCACGGCCCATGGAAAAAGAGGCATAGGGAGTCAGCAGAGTCGGCACAGCGTCACCAACTATTTTAAGGCCACCATCACCAGCATCATCAGCATCATCATCATCATCATCATCATCACTGCGGGAATGTTTTTGGATGCAAGGTCCTCGATTTGACTTTCAGAATCTGATGCGAGGAGGTGGAACCCATCGAATTCGTGACGGAGTCTGATGTTCTGGTGATGCTCCACTCAGACATCTCCTGGCACAAGCACGCGGCTGGTTGATTTGATCGATGGTCGACATGGGAGGTTGGTGACGTGGGGCAGTTAAGGCGCAAGGGGCTGGGGGTGGGGGTTCTAGTAGTTGGCGCAAAAGGAACCCAGGTGATTTCTGGTGGATCAGAAGATGATTTCTCCTCCACGTAGCTTCTGCCGCGTCCGAAGCAAGCTTCGCATGGTCGGATCTTCTCATGATCTACCCTGCTGAAGTCAAATCTCACTGGCACCCTTACCCAATAGTTGAGCTGGGTTGGAGTTCCAATAGGTTGGTAAATTCTAGTATAGCTCAATCTGTAAGTTCCACAGCCGTAGGTTAGCAAACTCTAGTCTTGTTCATTGAAGTTGCAATTGGCCAACTCTAGGTTAGCCCAAGCCATGATTGAACCCGTAGGTGGGCAACCTACAGTTTTGCAGGTCTGCATCACTGGCACCACTACCAAATAGTTGAGCTGGGTTGGAGTTCAATAGCCATGGGTTGGCCAACTCTGGGCTAGTTCCAGCCATGGTTGAACTTGCAGCTTTTTGGTCTGCATCACTGGCACCGCTACCAAATAGTTCATCTGGGTTGGAGTTTGAAAGCCGTAGGTTGGCACCGCTACCATCTAGTTGAGCTGGGTTGGGATTCGAAAACTGTAGGTCGGCCAACTCCAGGTGGCAACCTACACTTTTATAGGTCTGCATCACAGGCACCACTACCAAATAGTTGAGCTGGGCTGGAGCACCTTCGACTTCAATATTCTTTATTCATTGAAGGATCTTGGACTGCAACACTACCAAAGGTCCTATGGGGGTTCGGCTGCACGTTTGAACCAAACAGCTCCTAAGGTATCGACGCGGGGGACGTTCGCTCTGGTCTCGTGGGTTTTGGATGGTGGGTGCCTTGGCGACCTACATACTGTCACAGTGGCTCAAACCCTTGGGCAGCATACATGGGCTGAATACTTGGGCTGAATACTTGGCGACCTACATACTGTCTGGTCGACGGAGTCAAGTCAGTTCGGTTCTGAGTGAGAGAAGGGGTTCCGAGTGACATGGAAGCAGCCTCCTTTTCGGACGTGGACGATGGGTTTGCGTGTTCATGGAAGGGCAGCTCAGCTCTTGTGTTGTTTCGTAGACTGACCGGGCCTGGATTGGAGGTTCGAACGTCGACGCTTCGGTTGGTCCAAAACGTCGCTTTATGAAGGAAGACACCGAAGTACTCGAGTACTGAGGCCACAGCCAAGCCCTAGCAGAAGAGATTTGATGAGTAGGTATTCTTTTGTTCCAAAGCCTCTCACTTGAACACCCCTGTGAGGGGGCATAGACAGTTATAAGTTGGGGGTCTGCCAGTAAACCTGTGACCGTTGGTAAAAGAGTCTTATCGCTACTTTGGAGATGTCGACCTGACAATTTGAACCATCCTCCAGTGCGTATAGCTTGCGCTATATAGGATACATGGATACACCCAAGTGATATATCTAAGATCAGATGCACCTGACTCTTGCTGCACCCCGCCCCGGTTTTTAGATCAAGCACTGAATCAAGCACTGAACCATCGCAGGAAACCGACGTCCACACACCGTCCTTCACCGCCGACCGCGCGGCCGACGCGCTCCGAGGCCCTCCACGACCCGCGGCTGGAGCGGCGCCATTTCCCGGACCTTTGGCGCCACGCAGCCGGCGGTGAAGGACGGTGGGAGCGGGACTGGAGCGGGACTGGTGGGGCGGGAGTGCGTGGGTAGCGCAGGTGGGGCGTGTTTTCGTGGCAGGCTTATGTTGGAATGATTATTGAGGGAGGTGTGGGAAGAAAGATAAGAAAGAGCTGTTTTTTTTTGGTATGATAGAGTTTCATGGTCTGCCAGTCTTCCGGCATTGATCATGGAGTTCACCACCTGTCGTTTGGTATGAGGATTTCCATGGTCTTCGAAAGGGCCTATGTTCTACGCTGGGCGGGGTGGGTAGGGATGGGGCGCAACTACTGTATATGACCATTGGGATTGGGATTGAAGGGGATATCATAAGGGTTAAGGTTGGGAACTCTATCAGGAGGATTGTGAAACAGATGGTGTGGTTGTTGCTGTTTGCAAAGCAACATCAAGCGGTCCGGTGTCCATGTTCCATCCATTTTCCTCACTGTACTGTAGTTGAGTGTCATTCCAGTCTCCTCACCTCAACTCTCACCGCCCGTCGAAACTACGCACCGCACCATCCACCAGTCACCCGTCATCCGCGAGCCCTTCACCCCGCGCACGCACCTCGCGTGGCCTCGCCACCTCGCACCTCTCGCGCTACGCGCCGTCTGGCGCGGGTCGCGGGGCGCGTCGGGGCGGTGGGGCAGGAGCTGCAGGAATGGTCACAGGATCGAATGGAAGAGCTCGCCGCACTCCATGCGGCGCAGCAGCTCGAGGCACAAACCAGCCAGGGGTCGGTGGTCGGTGGTCGGTGGCGTTCGTGGGGCTGAGATGCTGGACGCATCACATACACCAGGTAAGTATGCGTGTTGACTGCAACACATTGGCCAAGTGACCAGTGTATATCACTGAGCAGGTCTAAACCCAGCTTGGAGTTGAGATGCTGCTTGGTGATATCAACTTTCAACACTCACTACACCAAGCGAAAACCCTTGCTCATCTTGCTTCTGGCCCTTTCGAGGGTCTCCGGCGCCGGCCCGGTCCGGCGCAGGCGCCGTTGCCACGGGAGTGGGAGCGGATGGTGCGGCATAGCTACTTCTCTGGGGCGCCCCGGCAGGGTGGTCTGCCAGGTCCGGCTCCGTGGTCTGCCAGGTCTGGTCTGGTTTGGAGGTGTTGAGGCAATGAGGACGAAGGATTCGACACCACGAAAGCAGGTCGATCACTTTTTTGAAGTGCTCTTTGGAAGGCGAACGGGCACCGGGGAAAGGGGAAGGGGGAACAGGGGCACGGCGGGAGAGCTAAAGCAATGCTGACGTTGAAGACGGGGGGACAGCTGTAGGGCGTGAGCTGGCTTTGCAGTCGAGACTCCTTATGTAGTAAAAGAAGGGTTGTTCAGCAAAAGCCGTTACATCAATGGTGGGCCAGGACCCGCAGGTTTTTTTTAGATGTTTCTTTGGTAGCTGGATAGCTTCAACCTTCTCTAAGTGCCATCGTCTCTGAAGGTGCAATCGGGCCTGTGAGTTGCACACAAATGGTTCACCAGACAGTCGCAGCACATGACATGTGAAGTGTCTACTGCTCGGACCTCATTCCCTAGATTCCCTAGATCTTCTGACTGCACATTTGCTGCTTGGTTCATCAAATTAAACGCTGCCAAAAGATCCAGGTGTATCCTCCAGCTGCCTTAGCACTTCTCATATGACAACGCACCACTTTACCGAAGTTCGGTCCTTTTCTCAAAAAACCTTTGGGCCGGACTGAGTGTCCGCCGCCGCTGCTCGGCCCACGCCCGCGTGTTCTGCCGAGCCCACCCGCCCAGGAAATCATCCCCATCGCGGTGACGGGCCAAGCTGGACACCATGCGACCTCCAACAATACCCATTTGTGGTACAGCGCCCCTTGAACCCCAAACAGAGAGAAAGCGACGCGACTCAGGCTGATTCGACCCAAACACTGGCAGAAATTCTTCGTCTGTGTTTTTCTGGGTTTGGGCCATTGGGCTTTGTGTTCTTTTTGAGTTGGATCCGCCGGCAAAGACAGTAGTTCTTCGTCCATTTTTGGGGGGTTGGGGTGAGGGGTTGTGGGGTGGCGCGCCCGGCGAAGCGCAGACGTTTGCTGCAAAATCTATCATATTTGACTTGGTCATTGTGGTCACTGCGGCACAGCGATTTCTTGGTCGTTGTGGTCACTGCCCACAAGAAGCAATATAACATCATCCAGCACAAAAGCACAACCAACAGGCTACCCGGCAACGTTCAGTTTCATAGGTTTGCATCACTGGCACCACAACCAAATAGTTAAGCTGGGTTGGAGATTGAAAGCCATAGGTCGGCAAACTCTAGGTTGGCTCAAATCATGATTGAACCTGTAGGTTGGCAACCTTCAGTTTTATAGGCGAGCTGGGTTGGTCGAAAGCCGTAGGTCGGCAAACCTGTAGGTTGACAACCTACAGTTTTATAGGTCTGCAACACTGGC